AAGGAAAGTGAATCTCTGTCACTGGGTTTAGGGGTTTATATTGGAAAGGGGTCCAGGGTATATGTTCCTTCAGGAATCCAGGGTAGGGTCTGATTCAAGGTGCATGACAGGTGAACAATAGGTGTTAATTCATAAATCATCAAAGGTGGAGTGTATCAATGCCAGCATCAGCCAAGGTTTTAATGTCTTAGAACATGTTGGGGATCCAATTCTTCTTAGATGTCATCAGGTGTTTGGGACCTAGGACAAAATTCAGAGAATGATTAATTCTCTTGCTTCCGCCTTTGAGTGGAATATAGCTTCTTTGGTTTATTCAGATGCAAGGTGAAATACAGAACATGAGCAAATGGGGCCCAGCAGAAAAACAGCTGAGATAGAGTCTTCCTAAAAATGGAGTCTCTTCAGTTTCCCTATCTCGATATTTGAATTCAAAAGATTTTATCTTAACCATAAATTTTTCAGAAGTGCTCTTCTTAAAGCAGTCTTTCCATACATAACTCATCTCTTTCAAAATTTCTCAATCTAGAACTAACATTCATCACCATCAAAACCTGCTCTATATCTTTCCTTCTTTTAGTCAGCCTATGTTCTTCAGAATGAGAACACTTGCTTTCCCATGGAGCCAGCAGTCCATGCAAACCATCCAAAGTACTCCTTCCACAGAGTCCTAATTCATCAGCCCCTTTCCACAAATCCTCAGTCTGGGATCAGTCACATATTCCCCTTTGTTTTTTCACTTGGAATTTCAAATGAATTAGAAAAATGCAAAAACATGCAAATTGAAGCAAGTGTAAACTGACAATTCAAGTTTTTTAGTTTTATATTTTTTATATAATGCTGAAGGTTCTAGATAGTGAAGTAAGTCAGGGGAGAAAGCTACAGATATTGAAAAGGAAGAAATAAAATTTCACTTTGCTAAATAACATGATTGACTTTGTACAAAATTCGAAAGAATACATAGAATAAGTTTCAAATTAATATGACTTTATAAGATAGTGGATAAAAATAAACAAATATGCATTGTATTAGTCTATTGCAAGAAGAAAAAGTTGAAAATTAAATATTAAAAATATTAGTTAAAATTTCAAAAATAGGGGCACCTGGGTGGCTCAGTCAGTTAAGTGTCTGCCTTTGTCTTAGGTCATGATCCCAGGGTCCTGGGATCTAGCCCTGCATCCGGCTCCTTGCTCAGCAGGGAGCCTGCTTCTCCCTCTCCCTCTGCTGCTTCCCCTGTTTGTTCTCTCTCTCTTTCAAATAATAAAATCTTTAAAAATAAATAAATAAATAAATAAATAAATAAATAAATAAATAATATAAAATAAAATTTCAAGTATAAAATATCTAGGAATAAATCAAATGAAAGTAACATACCATCTATTTGGACAAACTATGAAATACTATTTAGAGAAATTTAAAAGTAAATTAATGAGGGGCAATGTTATGGTCAGGTTTGGAAGTCTCATTTTTAAAAGATGTCAACTTCACTGAAATTAATATATAGTTCAAATTATAATAGATTTTTTAAATCTTATCAAGATTATTTATAAAAATTGAGCACAAAAAGATTCCCCTTGAGGAAGAACAATGTGGCAAGACTTATTCTACAGATACAATTCCTTCATGTAAAGTTACAGTATTTAGCAGAGTGTGGTTGGTTGTGGTTACAAAGACAGACAGTTAAGCCAATGGAATAAAATTCAGATACCTAAAAGAGACTCTATGGACATCTAATTTTACACAATGGGAACATTGCTGAGAAGGGGAAAATTATAGTCTTTTTAGTAAAAGTAGTGAAACAATTGGGTGTCCTTATCTGAAAAAAGGAAAATTGAACCCCAACTCACATGACTTAAAAATAATTTCCGCATGGACATAGAACAAAATACAAAAATCAAAACACTAAAGGATCTAAAAGTTAATATGGATTAATATATTCATGACTTCAAGGTATATCAATATTTTAAACAAAAAAGTCACTAATCATAAAATTCATCAAAATTAATACTTAGTCATAAAATTTGATCATAAAAAGTGAGTTAAAGTCAGAAAATATATTTGAAATATATTATAAAGACTTATAACCAAAAAAAAAAAAAAAAGAACTACAAATCAATAAGAAAAATATAAGGAAACCCTCCCCAAATGCAAGAGATTTGAATAAAGAAGAAATTTGAATGTGTAATCAACAATTGAAAAGCAGTTCAATTTCTTTAGTCATCAAGAAAAGCAACTTAAAGGTCCAATGAATTGTATCCAAAAGAATGGATAAAATTAAATTCCAGGTGTTAGTGTGAATATAGAGAAACTCATACCATTACTTTGAGGGAATGTAAATTTATAAAACTGCTTTGGAAAGCAGTTTGATATTATCTAGCAATTTAAAGTCATGCAAAACTCAGCAATTCTTCTCCTAGGTATATATACATCAAGAATGTATTCATATGTGAACTCAGAGACATGTGCAAGAATATTCATAGCAGCATTGATCATAAAAGCCCTAACCTGGAAACTACCCAAATGCCCATTAGAAGGAAAACTGGTATATGAATTGCAGTATATTCATATCCTGAAAATACTTTAGAACTACAGATATACACAGTAATATGGATTAATCTCTTAAGTATAATATTGAGCAAAGGAAGCCAGACCTAAATTAATACATAATGTGCAATTCCATCCACATAATGCTCAAAAAGAGACAAAATCAAACTATTTCATTCAGGTATGTATCTTAGGTAGTAACACTACAAAGAAAGTGAAGGAGTGATTACCTTTAAATTGAGGATACTGGTTGCCTTTAGAAAAAAGGAGCAGTTTGTGATTGAGATGGGATTTTCAGGCTACTCATAACATTTAATTTCTTGACCTTGAGAGTGGTTATAGGGATATTCAACATATAACAATTTTTATTTCTTCACCTTAAATATGGTTATAGGAATGCTTATTATATAAAAAGTTCTTAGTTGTACATTTAGATTTTATGCATTTTCCTGCATGTTTTTAATTAAGTTTTAAAAGGGTTTAAGAATACCGTCAACATCTCATTTCCTTTATACTGTATTTTCATCTTTTCCTTCATCAACCTCTGCCAATTAATTTTATGTAAAACTATGAGAAAAGTTAATTAAAGGAACAGGGAAAAGAATGAAATCTATTAAAGAGATGCTGTGGAAACTCCATATGAGAAGGGAAATGTCATGGCAAATGCTCACTGCTGCTTCAGTTGAGGGAGGTCATGTTTAACCAGCCTTCTGGAATTATTTGAAAATATTACATCCATAATAGATGATAGAAAGTCAATGATGTAGTACCCTTGTATTTTTCTCCAGGCAAATAGCCATGTTACACATGAGAAATTAATGACTATGGTAACAAGTTAAGTAAGTTAGAAATAGTGCTGGATAGAAAACTGACAGGAGCATCCTTTTTACTCACAGTCTAAAGCCATGAAACCCTTCTTCCTCCAATGTCTTTTTCTGGAATAACCTAATAATAAGAGTCCAGCCACCCAGTTGGAACTGCTGAGACTCTGAGGACTGAAGAAATGTATCAAGGAAGCCAAGATTCACTTAAACTTTTATCCCCAGGGCCACCCCATTCAAGACACATGCTGATCTCTCTCAACCCATCTGTTTCACATACGTGTGTGCACACTCATGCACATGCACACACACTTTTCTCTTCTTATCTTCTTCACTCATTCCTTTCTTTTCTATTCATATTTTTTTCCATCTCCCTGTCTAGAGCAATGGGATGGGGGGGAGAACATTCCACTAGAAAGAAGTACTATTTGACAGTTATTTAGCAATTTTGCTCCTATAGTTTCAAGATACTGTGAGTAAGGATAATGGACATACATTTAGCCTGTTTCTGAAATTTAGAGAGAGGCATAATTTGGATGAGAAGATAAAAATTCCAGTAAATTTTTCGTTGTTTTGTGTTATAATAATCATTCTCTTAGAGAAGGAATATAAGGGAAATATGGGAGCCTCCATTGCACATTGCTTTAATAAAGAACAGGAAAAAAATAATTTAGCAATTATCTAAGCCATTTAGACAAGCACATTTTAAAGACACTGTGTTAATTAATTGAATTTAAAAATAAATAAATAAAGACACTGTAGAAACCAGTTTAGCCAGTGTTGTTTGGTTTTGTGTTCTATAAGAATCACAATAATCAGGTTATTTGCAAGCCCTCACTTTATTTTTACTTCTATGACTGGTTTCTGTAATCTATTTGTTAGAGCTTAAACACACACACATGCACACCTATATTCACAAACATTTACTGCCAGAAATGTCCCAAATACTATACTAATTTTGACACAATGTATCAAACTGATACTAAGGATAAACCATCACATCAGAACCAACTTTCTTTACACATTTTGAATGAAACCATCTTTGAAGGATTGACATAAGTTTTGTTCATATATTACTTGCTTAGGAAATTAGATTCCTAAATATAAGTTGTCATTATTAATAATCATTTCATGGAAAAATTTCTATATCAATGAACATAAATATCAAAACCCCAAATTAATCAGTGGTTTCCTGTGTATATTACCATGTGTGGAGAATGCAAGTATGTCACTTCTAGGAATAATCCCTACCAGCCAAGTCTAGGTTTGTTGCCTGTGTTTTGTGAACCATTTATCATATTTTATTACTAATGTCTATCTTATTTCCATTGCCTCTTCATGCCAGCACTGTCCCATGGTACATTCTGTGATGATGGAAATAATCTATATTTGTGCTGTTCAATAGGATAGCTACTAGCCACATGTGGCTATAAAGCACTTGAAATATGGGTAGTGCCAAGTGAAATATATTGTAATGTAAACTACACATCACATTTCAAAAGTTAAAAATATCTCATTTTTTTTTACATAGAATTCATTTTGAGATGATAATATTTTGCATACATTGGGCTAAATAAAATATATTGTTAAAATTAATTTCATCATTTCTTTCTATTTTTTTTAAAGGTGGAGACAGGGAAATTTAAAATTATATTTTAGTAGCATTTGTGGCTGTTTTGTGTTTCTATTGAGATGAGCTCTTTTAGCTTTCAATTAGCAATAATCGTGCCTCAGATAAACTTCATTGGCTATGATACTGCCACTGTGCAAAGCTTGAGGTGAGAGTTCTTATAAAATGTCTGTGAAGAAAAAGAATTTTCTATATGTTGTGTTTTTTAATACCATGTTCTAAGATTCACATTTTTAATTGTTATATTCTATTAAATAAATACTAATGTATCTCACAATTAATAACAATCAGTTTATTTGGGAACTTTGTCTTTCTCAGTATTTTGTTTTGTTTTGTTTTGTTTTTATATTTTTATTCTTATGTTAATCCCCATACATTACATCATTAGTTTTAGATGAAGTGTTCCATGATTCATTGTTTGTGCATAACACCCAGTGCTCCATGCAGAATGTGCCCTCCTCAATACCCACCACCAGGCTAACCCATCCTTCCACCCCCCTCCCCTCTAGAACCCTGTTAGTTTTTCAGAGTCCATCGTCTCTCATGGTTCGTCTACCCCTCCAATGTCCCCCGCTTCATTCGTCCCCTCCCGCTACCTTCTTCTTCTTCCTTTTTTTTTTTAACATATATTGCATTATTTGTTCCAGAGGTACAGATCTGAGATTCGACAGTCTTGCACAATTCACAGCGCTTACCAGAGCACATACCCTCCCCCGTGTCTATCACCCAGTCACCCCATCCCTCCCACCCCACCCCCCACTCCAACAACACTCAGTTTGTTTCCTGCGATTAAGAATTCCTCATATCAAAAAAAAAAAGAATTCCTCATATCAGTGAGATCATATGATACCTGTCTTCCTCTGTTTGACTTATTTCACTCAACATAATACCCTCCAGTTCCATCCATGTCATTGCAAATGGCAAGATCTCATTCCTTTTGATGGCTGCATAATATTCCATTGTATATATATACCACTTCTCCTTTATCCATTCATCTGTCAATGGACATCTTGGCTCTTTCCACAGTTTGGCTATTGTAGACATTGCTGCTATAAACATTGGGGTGCACGTACCCCTTCGGATCCCTACTTTTCTATCTTTGGGGTAAATACCCAGTAGTGCAATTGCTGGATCATATGGTAGCTCTATTTTCAACTTTTTGAGGAACCTCCATACAGTTTTCCAGAGTGGGTGCACCAGCTTGCATTCCCAACAACAGTGTAGGAGGGTTGCCCTTTCTCTGCATCCCAGCCAACATCTGTCGTTTCCTGACTTGTTAATTTTAGCCATTCTGACTGGTGTGAAGTGGTATCTCACTGAGGTTTTGATTTGGATTTCCCTGATGCCGAGCGATATTGAGCACTTTTTCATGTGTCTCTTGGCCATTTGGATGTCTTCTTTGGAAAAATGTCTGTTCATGTCTTCTGCCCATTTCTTGATTGGATTCTTTGTTCTTTGGGTGTTGAGTTTGATGAGTTCTTTATAGATTTTGGATACTAGCCCTTTATCTGATATGTCATTTGCAAATATCTTCTCCCATTCTGTCGGTTGTCTTTTGGTTTTGTTGACTGTTTCCTTTGCTTTGCAAAAGCTTTTTATCTTGATGAAGACCCAATAGTTCATTTTTGCCCTTGCTTCCCTTGCCTTTGGCAATGTTTCTAGGAAGAAGTTGCTTCGGCTGAGGTCAAAGAGGTTGCTGCCTGTGTTCTCCTTTAGAATTTTGATGGACTCCTGTCTCACATTGAGGTCCTTCAACCATTTGGAGTCTATTTTTGTGTGTGGTGTAAGGAAATGGTCCAGTTTCATTCTTCTGCATATGGCTATCCAATTTTCCCAACACCATTTGTTGAAGAGACTGCCTTTGTTCCATTGGACATTCTTTCCTGCTTTGTCGAAGATGAGTTGACCATAGAGTTGAGGGTCCATTTCTGGGCTCTCTATTCTGTTCCATTGATCTATGTGTCTGTTTTTGTGCCAGTACCATACTGTCTTGATGATGACAGCTTTGTAATAGAGCTTGAAGTCTGAAATTGTGATGCCGCCAGCTTTGCTTTTCTTTTTCAACATGCCTCTGGCTATTCGGGGTCTTTTCTGGTTCCATACAAATTTTAGGATGATTTGTTCCATTTCTTTGAAAAAAGTGGATGGTATTTTGATGGGGATTGCATTGAATGTGTAGATTGCTCTAGGTAGCATTGACATCTTCACAATATTTGTTCTTCCAATCCATGAGCATGGAACGTTTTTCCATGTCTTTGTGTCTTCCTCAATTTCTTTCATGAGTATTTTATAGTTTTCTGAGTACAGATCTTTTGTCTCTTTGGTTAGATTTATTCCTAGGTATCTTATGGTTTGGGTGCAATTGTAAATGGGATCGACTCCTTAATTTCTCTTTCTTCTGTCTTGTTGTTGGTGTATAGGAATGTCACTGACTTCTGTGCTTTGATTTTATATCCTGCCACTTGACTGAATTCCTGTATGAGTTCTAGCAGTTTTGGGGTGGAGTCTTTTGGGTTTTCCACATAAAGTATCATATCATCTGCAAAGAGTGAGAGTTTGACTTCTTCTTTGCCAATTTGGATGCCTTTGATTTCTTTTTGTTGTCTGATTGCTGTGGCTAGGACTTCCAATAGTATGTTGAATAGCAGTGGTGATAGTGGACATCCCTGCTGTGTTCCTGACCTTAGGGGGAAAACTCTCAGTTTTTCCCCATTGAGAATGATATTCGCTGTAGGTTTTTCATAGATGGCTTTTATGATATTGAGGTATGGACCCTCTATCCCTATACTCTGAAGAGTTTTGATCAAGAAAGGATGCTGTACTTTGTCAAAAGCTTTTTCTGCATCTATTGAGAGGATCATATGATTCTTGTTCTTTCTTTTGTTAATGTATTGTATCACATTGATTGATTTGCGGATGTTGAACCAACCTTGCAGCCCAGGGATAAATCCCACTTGGTCGTGGTGAATAATCCTTTTAATGTACTGTTGGAACCTATTGGCTAGTATTTTGGTGAGAATTTTTGCATCCATGTTCATCAGGGATATTGGTCTGTAATTCTCCTTTTTGATGGGGTCTTTGTCTGGTTTTGGGATCAAGGTAATGCTGGCCTCATAAAATGAGTTTGGAAGTTTTCCTTCCGTTTCTATTTTTTGGAACACTTTCAGAAGAATAGGTATTAATTCTTCTTGAAATGTTTGGTAGAATTTCCCTGGGAAGCCATCTGGCCCTGGGCTTTTGTTTTTTGGGAGATTTTTGATGACTGCTTCAATTTCCTTAGTGGTTATAGGTCTGTTCAGGTTTTCTATTTCATCCTGGTTCAGTTTTGGTAGTTGATACATCTCTAGGAATGCATCCATCTCTTCCAGGTTATCCAATTTGCTGGCATAGAGTTGCTCATAATATGTTCTTATAATTGTTTGTATTTCTTTGGTGTTGGTTGTGATCTCTCCTCTTTCATTCGTGATTTTGTTGATTTGGGTCATTTCTCTTCTCTTTTTGATAAGTCTGGCCAGGGGTTTATCAATCTTGTTAATTCTTTCAAAGAACCAGCTCCTAGTTTCGTTGATCTGTTCTACTGTTCTTTTAGTTTCTATTTCATTGATTTCTGCTCTGATCTTTATTATTTCTCTTCTCCTGCTGGGTTTAGGCTTTATTTGCTGTTCTTTTCCAGCTCCTTTAGGTGTAGGGTTAGGTTGTGTACTTGAGACCTTTCTTGTTTCTTGAGAAAGGCTTGTATTGCTATATACTTTCCTCTTAGGACTGCCTTTGCTGCATCCCAAAGATTTTCAACGGTTGTGTTTTCATTTTCATTGGTTTCCATGTATTTTTTTAATTCTTCTTTAATTTCCTGGTTGACCCATTCATTCTTCAGTAGGATGCTCTTTAGCTTCCATGTATTTGAGTTCTTTCCGACTTTCCTCTTGTGATTGAGTTCTAGTTTCAAAGCATTGTGGTCTGAAAATAGGCAGGGCATGATCCCAATCTTTTGGTACCGGTTGAGACCTGATTTATGACCTAGGATGTGATCTATTCTGGAGAATGTTCCATGGGCACTAGAGAACAATGTGTATTCCGTTGCTTTGGGGTGGAATGTTCTGAATATGTCTGTGAAGTCCATTTGGTCCAGTGTGTCACTTAAAGTCTTTATTTCCTTGTTGATCTTTTGCTTAGACGATCTGTCCATTTCAGTGAGGGGGATGTTAAAGTCCCCCACTATTATTGTATTGTTGTCGATGTGTTTCTTTGCTTATGTTATTAATTGCCTTATATAATTGGCTGCTCCCACGTTAGGGGCATAGATATTTACAATTGTTAGATCTTCTTGTTGGATAGATCCTTTAAGTAGGATATAGTGTCCTTCCTCATCTCTTATTACAGTCTTTGGTTTAAAATCTAATTTGTCTGATATAAGGATTGCCACCCCAGTTTTCTTTTGGTGTCCATTAGCATGGTAAATGGTTTTCCACCCCCTCACTTTCAATCTGGGGGTGTCTTTGGGTCTAAAATGAGTCTCTTGCAGACAGCATATCGATGGGTCTTGTTTTTTAATCCAGTCTGATAGCCTGTGTGTTTTGATTGGGGCATTTAGCCCATTTACATTCAGGGTAACTATTGAAAGATAGGAATTTAGTGCCATTGTACTGCCTGTAAGGTGACTGTTACCATATATTGTCTGTGTTCCTTTCTGGTCTATGTTGCTTTTAGGCACTCTCTTTGCTTAGAGGACCCCTTTCAACATTTCCTGTAGGGCTGGTTTTGTGTTTGCAAATTCCTTTAGTTTTTGTTTGTCCTGGAAGCTTTTTATCTCTCCTTCAATTTTCAATGACAGCCTAGCTGGATATAGTATTCTTGGCTGCATATTTTTCTCATTTAGTGCTCTGAATAGATCATGCCATTACTTTCTGGCCTGCCAGGTCTCTGTGGATAGGTCTGTTGCCAATCTAATGTTTCTACCCTTGTAGGTTACATATCTCTTCTCCCGAGCTGCTTTCAGGATTTTCTCTTTGTCTATGAGACTTGTAAGTTTTACTATTAGATGTCGGGGTGTTGACCTATTTTTATTGATTTTGAGAGGGGATCTCTGTGCTTCCTGGATTTTCATGCCTGTTTCCTTCCCCAAATTAGGGAAGTTCTCTGCTATA